TAAATTAGAATTTCTTTATAATATGTTAGAGGTTAGAAATTATTGTATTATAGATTAGAATTGATTGTCTTATGAAATAGAATTTATTGCTATTTTGTTAGAGGTTAGAAAATTATTGTATTATAGATTAAAAATGATTATGTTATAAATTATAATTTATTACTATTATGTTAGAAGTTGAATATTATTATGATATAGTTTAGAATTGATAGTCTTATGAAATAATATTTATAATAATATAACTTAGAAAAGTGTCAAACAATCTCTTGTCATAAAATTCGGTCAAATCATACTTAATTAATCGGTCTCAATGAATTGCTCTAACAGAATCCGATTTTTTTCGTTCAATTTGTTATTTAAATTGGTATTTATGAATTTCAAATTTAAGTCAAAATATTATTTTGTATTTTAAAATCTATTATCGAGTTGAAAAGGAGCGGATTTAAGAAAAAAGGGAAATATAATTTTTAATAGCATCACTCATTAGTATTTTATTAGAGATAATTAGTATTGAAAAAACTCCTAATTAGTATTATGTTATATAACATAATAATTTATGAGTTCTAACATAATAATAATAAAATTCTATAAAATAATTAGTTATAATTTATACTTTAACAATTTTTAAATTCTAACTATGAGATATTAAATTCTAATTTATAACATAAATCTAAATTCTAATATAATGTATATAATTAAAAAATTTGATAAAAAAAAAAATGGCCGACCAGCCGGCAAAACCGGCCGTGCATGGGCCGGCCAACTGGCAAAACCGGACGTATATGGGCCGGCCAACCGGCAAAACCGGCCGTGCAAGGACCGGCCAACCGGCAAAAAGAAGGTCGGCACGGCTACGGCCGGCATTCGAGGCCGGCCGACCCAAAAAAAAAATTTATTTTTGGCCGGTTTGACCGGTCGGCCGCCGCATGACCGGTCTTGTTGGAAAGCAATTTTTCGCCGGAATTATTCAGAGGTGTTTTTGGAATTTTTCGAGGCTCGGTTTGGCCGGTAAATAGTTCTAAAGAGGGACATCTCTTTTTTTTTAAAAAAGGTATAAAGGGCAAATTAGTCTTTTAGGGGCGGTAAATATCGAAAAGGGGGCGGTGTTTAGCGTTTCACTTATTAATTTGTTCTCCAATGCATCTTGTCATGAGCTCTTTCATGATGAATTGGATAGCATTTAATGTTGACAATATTGAGTACACTTTCTAATATCTAACACCATGTTAAACATGATGTCTAATTAATTCACTTTATATTTAATTAATTTTTTTTATTGTTCTTGTATTAATGATTATTTTTATTGGTCCACCTATTCAAATAACTTCTTATCAAATTGATGTATTGGAGATACCAATTTGATTCAAATTTATACTCTTTTAACATTATTCTAACATGGATTAACATTATAATCATTGATTGACATGTGTTCAAAATCATTGGCTTTCAAAGCCATAGCATTGGAGATGCTCTAACTCAATTTGAGACGAGGTTGAATTTATCATTGTTATTCAATTTTCTTAAGGAGTAAATAGCGCCAAACCCCCCTGTACTATACGAAATCTGCGCCTTATCCCCCTGTATTTTAAAAAATGCGTCATACCTCCTTGTATTATACTTTTGATTGCGCACGCTTCCCCCTCCTCGTTTCCGTGTTAACCCCGTTAATTTTTTTTCTTAACTTCCCGTTATGCCCTCAGAAACAAACAATTACAGTTAGAGAGAGAGAGAGTGGAGCCCACCACCCATGTGCCCTGCTTCTGCCTCCACGATTTCCCTTCTTCTATCTGCAAAAAAATAGACATCCCCCTCCTCATTTTTTTCCTTCTTCTATCTCATTTTTTTGCAGATTTCCCTTACAAGAGATTTAATAACTCAGCTGTTTTTTTTTTTTTTTTTTTTTTTTTTTT